AAAAAAAGAAAAAAAGATATCCAAGTGGAAATGTGAAGGAGACAGTAGGGGACCAGGATATGGAGTTGCAGACAGAACTCTAGGCTGAGCCCCAGACAGACGACATTATTTAAAGCCTTGAAAATGAATAGGAGAACCAAGGAGAGAGTATAAAGAAGACAAGAGGTCTAAGAATTAAATGAACAGGGCCTTTTTCACAGTAGAAATCTGGGAGAAAAGGAAGAGCCAGTAAAGGAGACAGAGGAGGAGCAGCCTATGAGTCAGGAGGAAAACCAGGAAGACCTATACCAAGAGCAGCTGCCTGAAAGGATACATTAAGGAGGAGGATGTAAACAACTACATGAAGTGTTGCTGACAACTGACTGTGATCTTCAGACAGGGAGAACATTGGTGCCATTGAAAAAGCCTTACTGGAATATTCAAAAGGTAACAGAAAGATAGCAACGGAGACAACAAATACAGATAATTCTTTCAAGGAGTTCAGCTCTAAATGGGAGGAAAGACAAGGCAAGAACGTTAAGAAGGACAGGAAGCTAGGGCAGTGCAGAAATGGAGACAAAGGGAAAGAAAAGGAATCGAGAAGAATGCATAGGTAGAATGGGAAAATACAACTTTGTTTTGTTTTGTTTTGTTTTGAGATGGAGTCTCACTCTGTGGCCAGGCAACAGATTCTCCTGTCTCAGCCTCCTGGATAGCTGGGATTACTGGTGTGAGCCACCATGTATGGCTACTTTTTGTATTTTTAGTAGAGACGGGGTTTCACCATGTTGGCCAGGCTGGTCTCAAATTCCTGACCTCAAGTGATCCGCCTGCCTTGGCCTCTCAAACTGCTGAGATTACAGGTGTGAGCCCCCATGCATGGACAGGAGGACACAACTTCTAATGGGAAGTAAGTTTGGAAACAGCGATTCAAGGAAAACTCAGAGGTCCAGCTTATATCAAGTGATAAAGCTTTTAACACACATCAGTAAGGTTAGAAGAAATAGGAGGAGAAATGAGGCAGAGATAGAGAAAACTGGCATGCTGCTTCCAGATACTTCTCCCTCTCCTGCCTCCGACCAGGGCTGTTCTGACTGGAGGAAAAAAAGATTTTTTTTTAACAATGGGGAAAACTTAATATGAGCTAGTTATTAAATGTTATTAATGAGTTATTAATTTTGTTGGGTGGAACAAAATATAATTGTAACAATGTAGTGTATAACAATGAAATTATGGTTATGTTAAAACAAGAAGTCCTTATGTATTAGAGATGCCACCTGAAGTATTCCCAGGTGAAATGATATAACTGGGATTTGCCACCAACACTCTAGCAAGGAAAAGAATAAGTGAAAGTATTGTAAGACAGAAGATATTGACAACTTCACAGCACCTGACAAGCCCTGGGAATGAGCAGATACTGAAAGAAGGAATGAAAGGTATAACGAATGAGAGCATCAGCTCTGAAAAATATTCCTTGTGTAAATGGTCACCCTTAAAACAGGCCTAGTTTTCTGAGGGAACCAACTGGGGTTCTGATCCCTGAATGGGACACTGTAGAACACAGATGTCAAAGCTGAGCAAAGAAAACCCACTCGTGGTTCAAAATGCAATAGGTAAGTGGCACCCACCTGAAGCTGGGCTGTCAGGAGCTCAGGAGTATCCCCTCTCCCCAGCAGGCAGTCCTCTCTGGGCAGGCAGGAGCCACGGGGGGGCAGAACAAGAACAAAAAGCGTTCAAGAAAATCAAGGGAAATCTTCAAACTCCAGCAGCGCAGCACCTCCTCTTACTTAATGGCATCAGGAACGGATCTGCCACAGAAGAAAAGAAGAAAAGAATTGTGGGCAGCTTCCTGGGAACACAGCTGGGATATAGGTTGAAAGCACAACCTGCCCTGACAAGCTGTTGATGCTGAGCATGAGGTGATCTTCTCTGTGTCTGTTATTAATAAAAGGTAATATTTACTGAGCACTTAGTATATACCAGAGACTGTTACAGCCACTGTATGAGTTTTACCTCATTCTATCCTTTCAACAACCCAGGGAGATAGACGCTATTATCCTCTCTTGGATAAAATTGAGAAAATTGAGGTACAGTGAAGTCAGCCTCTTGCCCAAGGTAACACAGCTAAAAAGTGACAGATCCTAGGGGAAACGTGGCTGTGGAGACCGTGCTCTTACACAGTAAGGGCAGTGATGCTGAACTCTGTGGGTTGCAAGGATTCTCTGTGTCCACTTTGAGATGAATCACGATTGGTCATAAGGCGTTAAGTGTTGAATCTGGAGATTTGGTCTACAGAGTTTTATCTACTTCTGGCTGTTTGTAATTTCTCCGCAATAAAAAATTAAGTGGAATGTGAAATCCCAAAGTCTGGCCACACCAGGGGCATGGCAATCTGTAATTCTTGCGATCAGTGACAGTCCCCAGGACCTTTGGAAAAAAAAGTGTTCTGTGGGCCCCAGCCAGATTTCCTCCTCCAAGGTCCGAACCCGGGGGCGACCAATCAAAGTGAAATCCTAAGATCGCGCCAAAATGGCCACCCCAGATCCAGTGTAACCCAGACTTGTTTGGCCAAGCCAGACAGCTCCTCATTCCACTCCAGCAAAGCCGAAGAACAGTGGGGCCCCAAGACGACTAGCTCTCAACCCATGAAAACCCCGGGGACACATGGCCTCAGGAATGGTCCTCATTCCACCACCTGGGAAATACCACCCCTTCCCCCAAATACTACTTATTCAACTCCCCAAAACCCCGGGACTTAATGGCATGAGAGATCCCTTTTCCCAAAACCCGATTTCAGCCAAAGCCTAACCTGTCCCCACCCTCAAGAACCTTAGGAGACATAGCCTGATCCCCGCACCCATCACCATCTAGTTTCACAGATAGGCTTCACCCAACTCCCCGGGAGATGCACGCCCACACCCCAAAAATAAGACATCCGGGAGAGGATGGCCTGCGCCACGGCAGCGCTTTCCCACCACAACCACCACCCCTGCGCCACCCGCACGGTCCCCAAATTCAGCCTATAGTCCAGCCTTCCGGGACCTTCCTTTCCACGCAGAAAAGGGTACGGCTGCGGCAAAGGTCCCGGGGGAGTCTCACTCACCAGCGCCACCAAAGAACAAGGGGTCGCTCCAGCCACCAGCTGGGGAGCTCTTCCAACGGGGCACCGGGACTACACTACCCCGAATCCTCGGCACCGCGCCCAGACCACACCTCCCAGGATGCTCGGCGCCACCAGGCGCGCCGCGGCGGCTGGCAGCTCCCATTGGCCTCCGACGGATCCGTTTCTGAGTAACGCGCTCTGGTCGCTGGAGAATAGCCACCGTGGCACCTGAATTTTCCCTCTTTTTTCTTAACCACGTGCATACAACACGTAGACGCTCCCGAGAAAAGTGCCTGGCCCTACTGCGACCCTCCCTCTGAGCGCCTCTGCACCGAAAACCTCACTTCCCACTGGCCCCCGGAGCGACTTCCGCACCCGGTACCGGGCTCGCCCCTCGGCGCGTGGAAATGACGTTTCTGGGCGCGTCTGTTCGGCTTCTGGGGTTGGCCCGCGGTGTGCAGCTGGCGGACCGCGGTGCTTTTGGTGCTGGTTGGTGTTGCAGCATCCTCAGGTCTCCCTGGCCACAGCCCCTCGCTTGGAAACTCTTGTTCCATATTCCTGAGCACCCGGCGAATGTCACCTCGTATATCCTTTAGCGCCATTTAAAGCCTTGGAAAGGCCGAACAGTCTTCCCTAATTCTCACATCCTGTACGAGGTAGACCCGAATCTGAGCCCATGCCCTCAACCCGAACACACCTTTTCCGGTGCCCTGAGACCTTTTTCTTCTTTTTGAAGTCCACGAAGCTATGGGAAAACTCTCATCTCCTGGGAAACAGAAGCCTCATTCTTAGGCCAGAGGCTGGCCTGCTGTCGGCTTGCCTCTCTAGGTCTTTGTTCGGGATCCTGGTTGAGAACAGGTCTGCCCTAGTGCCATCTGGGACGCCCCCCCGGGGATCTTGAGGGGAAGGCCCACTTCACTCCTGAGAGGGCTTTTCCACCAGTGCATCCTCTCATTGCTTTTCACCTTCCTCAGATAGGCTTTCGGAAACTTCGTCATTCTCTGGGAAGACCAAGGAAATGACCATGCAGTCTGAAGGGCCAGGGAGAAATGAGAATTTCCTAAAGTTATTTTTTAGCTATCAGAGGGTGAATCCATTCCTTTCTCGTGCCCCAAGGCTTTATTATTTATTGTGAATTCAGTTCAGTCCCGGCTCCGGAGACATGTTCAGTGTTACTTGGATTCATCCCTCAACATCATTCTCTGCCTCACCCATAGCTCCGTCATTCACTAAGAAATTAGTTGTTAATACACATAAAGGTTCAGAACAATGCAGGGGTACCCGTGTTCAAATGTTTGCTGTACAATAAAGACGTAAATAGCTGACATCTCTTGGGCCTGGAAATGAAGACTTACCGGATGAGGTGCTGCCTGAGGAATTAGGAAAGATGAGGAATTGGAGAAACACACAGGAGTGGGGAAGAGTGTAAGAAGTGTGGTCAGAATCTCAAGAGTCTAAGCCACTGGGCAGACTGGTGATTACTGTGAGATTTTCAATAGTGCATGGTCTTGCATCCAGCTGATTTGCATATAGACAAGGATGCCATCTAGATGTCCGTGCATGTCATACAGATATTCGGTGTGTCCAGCCTCCTGTTTCATCTTTGAAAAACTTCTCATCACTTAATAATTAGCAGTTTCCATCTAGAAATCTGGATTCCCTGCTTTCTAAAACACTCTTTTTGTCCTGGTACTTGCCACCCACTCTATCACACTCCATGCCATAACTCATCTGGAATACTTTTAGCTCCTCTGAATGCTTCCTGTCCTTCAAGACCAAATACCCAGCTCTCTTTCATGAACCCTTCCCTGAACACTATCCTATAGTGACTTCTTGAGACTCTTCTAACCCTGGCTGTACTTGGGGGCTTTTTGGAATACGATGCCTGAATACCATACCAAGAAATGAGTTTGCAGTGGAGCCTGGGCATCATTATTCTTAACAGAGCTGTTTTCCTCTTAAGAAGAGAAGGTATTATGTAATAATGTAGAAGAAAGATCTTGTTTTGGGAAATCAGAAGCTTAGTTATTGGTTAGTTGCTGCTATTTCTGAACCATGTACCTGGGTAGATCATTTAACCTAGTGCATCTCAAACATGCATACATATCACCTGGGATCTTGTAAGCAGCAAATTCTGAATCAGCATGCCTGATGGAGCCCACGGATCAGCATTTCTAATAAGCTTCCAGATGATGCTAGTACTGCTTGTCCTCAGACCATACTGGGTAACAAGGCTTTAACCCAATCAGGAGCTCAGATCCTTAAATTGAATATAAACAGCTAGATTAATCTCCAAATTCCTAATGCCCAGAAAAACCATGATTCTATACCTATGTTTTGTTTTAATGTGTTGTCTATTAAATTGGAAGCACCTCAAGGTTAGGAATTGTTTTTTCATTTGTAAACCCCATAATAGCCAGACTAGGATCTAGACAAATGATGCTGGTTGGATAGTGAACAGGGTTAAGGTCTTGGAATCCAAGCTCCAGAGTTACAGTCAAAAGCAGGATCTAGATATTTTACCTATCTTCCCCAAGGAAGCCCTCTTGCTCCCTTGTTTTCAACATGGGCACACGTGGCAAGACTGTGTTTGGCATAATGGGTTTTCATGGTATTCAAGGTTGTGGCTGTGGATTTCATGTAAGAGGTATGAAGGCTGTGGAGTCCTTTTCAGAAGGACCCATACTGGGAGGCTGTGCTGGGAAACTATAGCAACCTGATCTCACTGGGTGATAATGGCTTCTCTTCCAATCTAAAATCTGACTCACTGAGCAGCTTAAATCCCTCATGCAGAAAAGGCAGTGCATGGAGTAGCTGCCAGGTATAGCTGACTTTCGCCTTTTGAACTTGAAAACAAAGGTTATTCATGTTTTCCTAGGGAAGGTCAGGTTTGTTTGTTTTGATATAGTTGAGAATGGGTAGATGGGGGGTGTGTGTGTTTGTGTGCATGCGTGTGCACACTACTCTTGAGAATTTGCCTGTGGTTCTCAGCAGTTTGACATTGATGTGTCCAAATCATTTGTTGTTGTTTGGTATTAATCCACTTTGAGGTTTATTGAGATTCTCTGATCTGTTAACCAATGTTTTTCATTAAATTTAGGGACTTTAACTGTCATATTTTAAATAATTCTTTCTCCGTTTCTTCTCATTTTGGAAAATTATTTCTCAATTTCCTCTACTTTTGAGTCTCCACTTACATGTATGTTATACCGTTTGATATTGTTCCTGAAGCTCTGTCTGATTTTATTCAGTATGTTTTTCTGTTTGCCAGATTGGTTTCTATTTACCTGTCTTCAGGTTCACTGAAACTTCCTTTTGCCATCTTCAATCTTTTAAGCCCATCTAGCACATTTTAAATTTTTATTCATTACATTTTTAGTTCTAGAATCCCCTCTTGTTTCTTTTCAAAATAATTTCTATGCCCATTTGTTTCTTTTTGATGCATGTATTTTTCTTTAATATGTTTATACTGGTTTCTATAAAGTCTGTGTGCTGAAACCTCTGGACCATCTCAGAATCTATTTCTGTGACTTTTTCTTAATAGTGGGTCACACTTCCTGTTTCTCTGCATGTCTAGTAATTTTAAAGTTTTTTATGCTGGACATTTTTTTGTGCCTTGATTCTAAATTCTCTTATGTTCCTCTGAAACTGCTTTTTATACCTGTCGGCAGTTTAATTACTGGATGACTGTTTTGAACTTGTATAGGCTTCATTTTATGCTTTGTTAGGATAGATCTTTGAAAGTTCAAAGTGTTTACCATGCTCCTCTGACTTGCAGGACTCAAACTCCAAGTTCTTTGACCCATACAGATATTTTAAAGTTTTTATTTTAGTTCCAATTAGAGCATCTGTAGAGAAGACCTTACTATAAAATGTCCTTATTTTATGGCATGACCCCTCTGGTTTCTCAGCTGAATGACTGGGGTGTTAATGAGGTTTGTTTATTCTGATTGAGAAAGAATGCCTACAATTGCCAGCCCTGCTAAACTTCTAGTGTTTCTATTCTTCTCTCAAGCAGCTGTTTTCTAGTAATCACTGCATATTTGCCCTGCACAAGCAAAGCTCAACTTCAGCTGAGGTAGGCTTTCCCCACTTTGCACAGCTGCCTCCTTTCTGAGACCTACCCTACCAATACCATCTGCTTCACCATCCCCAAAGTCTTTTCTGCCTCCTCACCTCCTTGAGACCAGTTTGCTCTGCCCCTACCATCCTGTATCATGGTCAGGTAATTCTCCACAAGCAGTTAGCCAGGGCAAATGTGGAACTCATCTTCTGAATTTCCCATCTCTCAGGGATCACAATTTTGTGCAACTTGTAGTCGAATGCCTGAAAATAGTTGCTTTGTACTTTTTTTTTTTTTTTTTAATAAAGATGGGGTTTCACCATGATGGCCAGGCTGGTTTTGAACTCCTGACCTCAGGTGATCCACCTACCTCGGCCTCCCAAAGTGCTAGGATTACAGGTGTGAACCACAGCACCCGGCCCTGCTTTGTACTTTCTCCAGTGTTATGATTATTTATAATGAGAATGATCATCTGATACCAGTTATTCCACCATGGCCAGCAGAAGAAATTAATTTGGTAACTTCTGTAAATCACAAAATTTATATTTATTTTTCTGACTATCCTAGATCTAGGACAAATCCTCATGTAGGAGCTAATTTGTTATAATCAGTAAGACCATAGTTACGTAAGGAACTTTAACTGATTTTGGGGTTTGTTGCCCTTTCTCTGAAATACTAGTGAGGTACCTTTTATTAGAATATCTGACAAAAAAGTCATCAGCTGCAAGTTTAATAAGTTTCATCCGTTTAAAAAGACAATTTGTGTTTCTACTTGACTCACAGTAATATACCTCAAAGGTTAATGGTATTCAATAACCAGTTTTGAAGTAAAATAAAATTAATGGGATGAAAAATTTTAAGGTATGTGATTGGTATTACTATTCTTGGAAATACGACTTGAATATTTGAACTACAAGGTCTTTTACGTTTTCTGTAAAGCCTTGAAAAGACATATAGTTGCTCTGATGATTACAGGACATACTAATTATGCTTATTATATCCAATTAGTTAATCAGTGTTCTTGTGCTGGTTGAATTAATTACACTTTTAAATTGTAAC